TGGGCAGGTGGAACCCGGGGAACCTCTGTGCAAAAGCCTCGGGGGCCAGTTCCTCGCTGGGGACATGATGGCGCTCCATGGTCCGCCGGTAGCTCTGGAACTCGGGGCTCTCGGGGCGCCCCAGGACCCACAAGGGCGTCCGTCTGTGGGAGGAACACACAACGCTTCTGAGCCAAAGACGGACATATTGGGCCTTTCCATGGGGCCTGACAAGGCCTCCCTGAGCTCCTTGCGAAGAAGACGGATGAGCCTATTACGCCTGACCCGGCAAGATGAAAAATCATTTAGATGCGCATTTCCTTAATGGCGCTTCCTTTATGGAGGCATATAAATTAGAGGGAGCATCTGTCGCTGCCTGGAGGGGATGCTCCTGGACGCCCGATCACAGCAGGCTCTATTGAAAAGGAGAGCTTCCAGCCCAAGCAGGCCATAGAAAATATAATAGTAATAGTAGAGTCACACTGGAGGACCAAGAAAATGCCTAGGGAGGACCTATATTGGATTGATGGAACTTGTGGATCCCAGGGTCCGCGGATATAGAGGTCATGTTATATTTGAGGAAATGTCGAATAATAATAATAATAATAATAACAATAGTCACGCTGGAGGGCCTAGAAAATGCCTAGGGAGGACCTATATTGGATTAATGGAACTGTGGATCCCAGGGTCCGCAGATATAGAGGTCATGTTATATTTGAGGAAATGGATAATAATAATAATAATAATAATAATAATAATAATAATAATAGTCATGCTGGAGGGCCTAGAAAATGCCTAGGGAGGACCTATATTGGATTAATGGAACTGTGAATCTCAGTGCCCGCGGATACAGGGGTCATGTTATATTTGAGGAAATGGCGGATAATAATAATGATAATGATAATAATAATGGAGTCACACTGGAGGACCTAGAAAATGCCTAGAAAGGACCTATATTGGATTAATGGAACTGGGGACCCCAGGGTCCGCGGATATAGAGGTCATGTTATATTTGAGGAAATGGCAAATAATGATAATAATAATAATAATAATAATAATAATAATAATAATAATAATAGAGTCACACTGGAGGACCTAGAAAATGCCTAGGGAGGACCTATATTGGATTGATGGAACTGTGGATCCCAGGGTCCGCAGATATAGAGGTCATGTTATATTTGAGGAAATGGATAATGATAATAATAATAATAATAATAATAATAATAATAATAATAATAGTCATGCTGGAGGGCCTAGAAAATGCCTAGGGAGGACCTATATTGGATTAATGGAACTGTGAATCTCAGTGCCCGCGGATACAGGGGTCATGTTATATTTGAGGAAATGGTGAATAATAATAATAATAATAATAATAATAATAATAATAATGGAGTCACACTGGAGGACCTAGAAAATGCCTAGGGAGGATCAATATTGGATTGATGGAACTCTGGATCCCAGGGTCCGTGGATATAGAGGTCATGTTATATTTGAGGAAATGGCGAATAATAATAAT